GGCTTTAACTGAGAACACACCAGTTTCTTTTCCTCTGGGTGCCAGATGCCTGTGAGGTTTTTATTAGGCTAGGAAGTAACATGGGCCAGAGCTTTTAACTGAAGACCATCAGTGTCAAACAGCCAAGGTACTCCAACAGAGCACTCTTGCTGGGTAGCTTTTGTGGAAACAAAACCCAAACCAATATCTGATTCTTCATGTTATATTTCCAGATAAGTAATCTGAGACAGGACTATGTTTTGAACACAATAGGCTAAAGTGATTTGTAAAATCAATAACTGCACCAAATCCTCCCTAAGGTGTCGAGTGAACTGCCCAAGGCCATGCTACTGGTGAGCTTTAGAGCCATGATTTGAGCTTCAACAGTCTGACTGTAGATCCACTTGTGATCATGACCCAGCACAGGTGATTTCCAGTCCCTGAATGGACAGTCCCAGAACCTGTCCTCTGGCATATGGCAGGGCGAGGTGACACAGCTGGGTGAGCAGTGTTTGATGATCAAAGTGTACAGTGATCCTAGGACCACATAAAGGCCCCATTTATGTCTTTCCTAGGAAGTGTGGATTTCCTCCAGACTCTGGGCCTACCAGGGGCCAGAGTTGTGCTTATGTGGAGCTGGGGAAAGCCCAGTGTAGTTTGTTCATCTTGGGCTAGGCTGAGGTTTTGCAAAACTTTGGTAGCAGAAGAATGTCCTGAGGTACAGCAGCCCACTCAGCATGGTGGCTGCCAGCTTTTCAACCAACGGAGAAACAAGGGCTCAGTACTTCTGTTCTTGTTTTGTTTTGTTTTTTTGAGACAGAGTCTTACTTTGTCACCCTTGGTCGAGTGCCATGGCATCATAGCTCACAGCAACCTCGAACTCTTGGCCTCAAGCAATTCTCTTGCCTCTGTCTCCTGAGTAGCTGGGAGTACAGGTGCCCTCTATAACACCCAGCTAGTTTTAGAGATGAGGTCTCATTCTGGCTCAGGCTGGTCTCAAACCTGTGAGCTCAGACAATCCACCTGCCTTGGCCTCCCAGAGTGCTAGGATTACAGGTGTGAGCCACCGTGCCTGGCCTAGTGCTTCTGTTCTTGACTTAGTTCTTGGGACATCCTTGGCTGCTAGAGCTTGTGGTGGTGAGGCTGTCTGGTTCCAGGAGCCAGATCATTTGGGGAGGGTTGTTTCTAAGCTTTAGAAGAAAAATCCCTCAGGAATTCCTTCTATGTGGGTCAGCTGACATCATTCTGGACAAAAATGAGGTATGTGGGTACCTCTTAAGGGGTCCAGCCCACAGTGGCAATGGTCCATGCCAGGTGAATGGGTATGCTAAACTAAGGCCACAGGTAAAAATGAGCAACAGCTTTTCAAATGCCATGGACTTTCAAATTAAATTTACCTTTCTCCACCAAGAATTTACCTTCAGAGGTGGTCAGGAGAACAATGCTGGCACTGCAGCAGTAGTTACGGTAACAGCCAGTATTACTGTGGCATCCAGCACCTAGTCAATGCTTGCTGTGTGCCAGGCATAGTGCTTAGAGCTTTAGGAGCACAGTTCTCATGGCTCCTGCAATAATCCTAAAACTGTTTCTAATTCACAAATGAAGAGACGGGGACTGAGGAAGGCTGGGTTCCTTGTCCAGGATCACATAAATGGGAGGTAGGGGTGCTTGAGCTTGAACCCTGGCTTGTCTGCCTCCAAAGTTGGGAGTGCTGAAGCCCCCTGATGAGCTACGGAACAAAGAGGTAGCAAAAAATAAAAGGCTGAGGAGTTTTACCACACTCTGAAGTTTTGGGGTTAGATCCCAAAGGATAAAACAGCCAGAGGCAGTTCTGAATAACGAGAAAAGCAAGTCAAGTCCCTGCAGCCTGCAGTGGTGGTGGTGGGGGGAAGAGCCCACAGAGAAGGCCCAGGCCAAAGACAGGTAGGTTGTTTTGGTACCTTCCTGGTATCTCCTTGGAATAAAGATGACACTTTGTACTTGCAACAATTCTCTGCATCTTCCTCATGCACCCTGGCACTGGTCAGATGGCCATGCTGGCAAAGGAAGAGTTGGGATCCTGGGGGCCATCCATAAGGGGCACTAGATTTGTCTTTCATCTCATCACAGGCAGAATACCTTCAAGTGTCTACCTAGTTTTAACACAGAACTTTTAAAGGGCATGCGACACCCTATTCTTCCAAGCCAGAATACTGGCATTTCCCTTCCATCTGCTTTAAGCAAAGCTCTGAGAGGCTCCCTTTACTCCTTCCAGGACTCTATCTAGACAAGCTTTTCATGGCAGTGAAGAGCACGCTATATCACAAGCACTGTGATCGTGTGCCTGGTGACATTACAGGCACTGGGGAGGCTTCCTTACCTCATCTGAAGAGCCATTTTCCACTCTGAATCTTCCAGCCCTTTGGATGGCTCCATCAGCATCACTGGAAATAAGCTAGGGGGAAAAAACGTTCAATTAGGTAGCAAGTCACCATTTGCAGTGCCCCGTCTGCCTGTATGCACCTATCCTGTAAGGAAGCCACACCTGTGACACTGACTGGCGAGCCCTGCTCAGGATCTAACAGTCTTTTCAGAGCTCTGTCAGCCAAGTCCTCATACGGTTGGCCCCCCTGTCTTTAGGAGTGCAAAAGTGTGGAACATTTAACCCCAGAGAGTGGAAAACAAGAGCATTACATCTAAATTTGAATATATTCCAATAGGGACGAACATTAACGCGATGGTCCCTGGAAAAACAATCTTAATACACGTCACATGTGGACAAGTGGCAGCTCACAGATGGCAAAACCAAAAGCCAAGTCTCAAGTTCAACTGCCTTCATGGGAAAGCCTAAAGAACAATTAGTGGCTGGCATGAACCCAAGGCTCTGCTACCATCAGAGAAAGCTCTTGTGCTTCATTCAGTTTTAATCGGTTTCCAAAAGGTCAATTAGCCCCTTCCCAGGCCGACTATGTTTTAGCTCTGGCAAGGTAATGCTTGCAAATAGTCCCCAAGGAGTTTGACACTAGAAAGAGGTGAGTGAACAGATCAAGACTTCGCACATCAGTTCGAAAATTACTGACTTAAGATTTAACTTATTTTCTCCTTCTAGATTTCTCAGTAGCAACTAGGGGAAAAAATGACACATCTTTTTTAAACTTTTTAAATTAACTTGCAATTTGCACCAAAAATCTGCCCATAATTTCTATCTCCCAGACTCTTTGGAACACACTTGCTCTAAGGGGCACTTCTCACCCCTTAACTCAGGACTCACCCACCAAAACAGAAATAGGATTTGTTAGGAAGATTGTTAATTCATATTCACTGGTGTTTAAGAGATATGAAAGTATGAAAATTAATGGGAAAATTTCAGGGAGAAACACCCACAAATTTTCTCAAAGAAAATTGTTTGGAAAAGATTGATATGTTTTTTTCCTTGAGAAATATAACAATACCTTGTATTTATCAAGTGCTTCCACGTGCTGCGCTCTCCTGCCCTGAACATGCATTGTCTCATTTAATTCTCATAACAACAACACAGGGGAGGTACCATTACTGTTCTCATTTATGAATGAGGAAACTGAGGCAGAGAAAGGTAAAACAACCAGCTAAAGTCATGTAGCTAGTTCATACAGGAAGAGCTGTGCGTGAACAAAGGCAGCCTGACCGTGGAAGCTCATCCTCATCTAATCAACCCTACCTAGCCATCCTCCAGGGCTGTCCATCACAAGACCCAGTTTTATACCTCATCTTCCTCCTGCAAAGTAATTTCTAAAAATAAATGCCTAGCTCAGCTCCCAGTGAGTAGGGCGCCAGCCACATACACTGAGGTGGGTGTGTTAAAGCCTGGCCCAGGCCAGCTAAACAACATTGACAACTGCAACAACAACAACAAAAATAGCCGGGCATTGTGGCAGGCGCCTGTGTCTCAGCTACTTGGGAGGCTGAGGCAAAAGAATCACTTAAGCTTAAGAGTTTGAGGTTGCTGTGAGCTGTGATGCCACAGCACTCTACCGAGGATGACATAATAAGACTCTGTCACAAAAAATAAATAAATAACTGCCAAGGATGCACTACTGAGGCTGAGTAGGAATGAATTTTACCTTGCGCAATCAGAGGTCTGGCCTTTGCCCTTGGCTCTTGGTAGGTGATCTCTAAGCCTCAGGAACATCCCGCATGCGTGTCTGAGGGACGCTGAGCCTTGCTGGATAACAATAAAGTGATTTACGATAGGGGCTTTGGATTGCATGGTATCAGCTCTCCCTCTGGAGGGTCTCTTGGTTAAGGTCAGCCATGGGGTAGCTAACCATGTCTACAGGGTGAAGCCCCACTAAAAACTTCAGCTCAAGTGAGTTTCTCTAGCTGGCAATACTCTGGGCGTATTGTCACACATCATTGCCAGGACGAGTGAACACTGTCACTCCATTGGGAGTGGACAAATGGAAGCTCTACATCTGAAACCCTTTTGAACTCCATCTCATACATCTTTTCCCTTGGTTTTATTTTATTTTTGAGATAGGGTCTCACTCTGTTGCCCAGGCTGGAGTGCCGTGGTATTACCATATCTCACTGCAACCTCAAACTTCTCAGCTCAAGTGATTCTCCTGCCTCAGACTTCCAAGTAGCTAGGACTACAGGTGTGTGCCACTGCACTTGGCTAATTTTTCTATTTTTTGTAGAGATGGTCTTGCTCTTG